GCGACTGTATGGCTTGCAGAAGACACCTGGGCCATTGAATTATTACAATTTTCATACAGTTTTTCAACAATTAAATACAGTTTATGTTCATTATTAATGATGTAGCTCTTTATAGGTAAAAGTTTTGAAAACGTCTAACTAAATTTTTATTTTATGTATTACAAATAAACAAATCATACCCGGATGCAGTCATCTTACCTTCACATCCGTTATATAATTTACATAGTCATAAAGCGACTTGAGACAAAGAGTTTGCAGATGATAGGTCATTATGGTAGCAACGGCGTTATAAAACGATTGCATCTTCTTTTTCTTACTGGGATCAGGTAGCTTTTTCCTTCTGTTTCCTAAGAGAAATATGTCGATGACTTCTCGATAATAAACATCGGTTAAGGTGGTCTTGCATTTCTGTATGTGCTTGTTGGCGGTGTATTTAAAGTCTTGTAGTTCAAAAGCGCCTTGGTGTTGCTTCAGTGTTTCCACTTCTATCAACCGTAATTTTCTGCAATCATGAATTAATTAGGAATGTGTTAATAGAAGTCTAGGAAAATTATGTATTTTTGTCCATTAATAAATTCTCATCGATCGGATACGTGAAAAAAAAAAATTACTCGGGGCCAAAAGTCACAAAAAGATATTGATGAAAATTTTAGTTNGGTAGTTTGAAATCGGGATTCTGGCAAGTGAAATATTTGGAAAAGACCAGAGGAAATTTCACTTATGTTTGTTTATAAACCCCCCCTTTTTCAATATAAAAATGGCATAAAGTCTTGCTTTATTTTGAATAATTAACGTATCGCTTTTTTAACAAAAATATTGAAAACAAGTGGGTGCTAGAACACTCTCCAGAAGGGAATTCCATATCTCAAATGACATTCTACTGATAAATAATAAACGGTTTCAGCTGCAGACGAACCTAATTCTCTAAAGGTGATTCTTACTGCATAACAATCCGAAGAAAAATTTTTAGTGAGTGCTCTGACGGCATCATCAAACCTCAAATCGTTATGTATGACAATTCTAAGGGATTTTGTGCCTAATTTGTTCTCGATATATTGGAATGTCTTGAAAAGATTTCAAACTAGTTTTCATGACATTTAAAGATGAAAAGTTAGTATCGTACCAGTCTTTGATACTCCTGATATCTGAAGATATGATTTTGTGGAGATCTGAGGTATTATTACTGTGCCATATTATAGTGGTGTCATCTGTAAATAACATGAATTTGCCTCTATATTCAACGATGTCAGATCATTTATATACGAAAGAAAGATGATAGGACCAAGAATAGACCCCTGAGGTAGTCAACTGTTTGTACTAGCTGATAACCAAGTTGATATCCAAGTTGACGTTCAACAGTTTGACTCCTACCGAAGATATAATTTAAATCACTTATGAGTTGTTCCGCCAAGGCCACAATGAAACGATTTTCGTCAATTTTTGTCAAAAAATAAAAAGACAAATGAGAACAGCGACATACGCTGAGTGTTGGATATTTATAACAAAAATATGTAGACAGAAGGGTTCATATTCTTCTATGAATGTTTAAGCACTCACGTTAATTTTTTGCTGTACCATAAATCCAACAGTGCCGCCAAACAAGGATTGATAACGTGCAAGTTTCTCTCCATTTTCAGTTTAGCCGCATTGAAGCTGGGTCTGAAGCTATTTCCGATCATCTTCAGTTCTTTTCGGTACTTTGATTCTTCATCTCCTAGAGGTCTTACAAAAGCCGGATCTTGTAGAACAAAATCTATGATTGCTTTTTTCACAGCCATCATAAAATCTTCCTTTACATCTTTGATGGATTCGCTCAAAGTTTCCTCCCAGATCATTAATCGGCGGGGTACTAAGGCCAACACCTGTATGATTCAAAACAATAAGACGAGCTGAATTGTTTTAATTTGGATTATGAATTTGTTCATTCACAAATGATGAAAAGACGAGGTGTCACTTGATAGTGTTTTTTGACGAAACCCATGAACCATAATAACTATATTCAAAAATAATTGAAAAACTAATCTGATTAGAGATTATCCAAAGTAGCAATGCTATGCTAACCTATAAGGTTAATACAAATAATTTTTGGAAAGTGAAAAATTATTGACAGCAGAAAAATTGTAATGTAGTACGGGGATGGAATAGGGTTAATTTCAGGGGTGAAAAATTGCTTTTATTGATTTTCTCCGAAATGTAACCCCCTATTGGTGAAGGTTGAATTCGAAAGTTGTATAAATTATATGAACTACAAGTTTTGTATNAATTATGCCTAACCCATCCTGTCCTAACTAAAACTGAAATTGAATGATGATAAACAAGAAATTCTGTGTATATGTATATATTACGAAACTCTAGAAATGTTAATAGTATGTATTGTAAATAGCACCAAATATTGACCTTGAGGTACACCACGGGTAATGGTTCTACAATTATACAGTGCCATCCCTAAAGTATGCACCATATGGGAAACTTATTTATTAAGGATTTTTCGACAAAAAATTATTCTTGATAAAAGTTTGTGCATCTCCTAAAACTGAACATGCACCAACAAAATATAGTAAAACACGCGTAATATGCGAAGAGCCTTCAAATATTTGATTTTGAGACAAGAGTAAAGTACTCTTATTTTGAAGGCATGACCATCTAAGTGAAGTTTTATTTTTTTGCCCATTTTTTTAAATCAAGACTACGAAAAAAAAATTGCTAAGACGATAAATTTTTTTGTCCAAAATAATTCTCCAAAATAATCTCCAGAAAATCAATGAGTTTGTTCCAAAATACCTATTTTATTTTGATGTTTTTTGATTTGATATTATTGTATATGAAGTTCTTGTTACAATACTGTATAATTTTGAGTAATTTTCGGTATAAAAATACCTTTACACCAAAAACTTTGGAAATTATTTTAGTCTTCAAAAAAATTGACGGTGGTTAACACCATAGTTTATCGAAAAGAGTCATCATCTTCATCATTCCTTGAACTTGACCTAAACCCTAAATAACAATTGATATATTTGAAAGGACAATAACAAGTTCACGAACATACTAAAAAAAATAGCTTGCTTCACAGAAAATTATTTTATGTCAGAAAAAAAATGCGGCATAAGCACATGTTACACCCTTGATTATTGAAAAACCGACTCACCCTACTTAATACTTTTCCATCAAGGGGTGCTACATGAACCGTGTCCACCCCATGTTTGACGTAATAGTAGTATCGCAACATTTCTTTCTCTTCGGCAGACGGTATTTCATCTTCTTCAATTTCAGGTTCTCCTTCTCTACAAACAATTAATTTGACGAGCCTATTTCTGAACTCTTCTCTTTGTTTTTTCAAAGCCGCATACGATTTGAGTTTTGATTGTTGTTCAGCAACTGGAACGGTATAATATATTCAATTATTCAGTTGAATGTAATTCTAAACAATAAATAACGGTTCAAATGTGAGGGTGATGGAATTTCTCCCCTACAAAAGACTCAATACCCGAATATCAAGGACAAACGAGGCTCTCCAAGGCGGTCCGTTGCAGAGCCAAGCCAAGCTGCAATTACTCTTTTCTGAAGTGTACGAGGATGAATTGAAATTTCGTTAGCCTAGAACCTAGACCAATAGCGAGAGGTAATTTGTTAGAAGTTTCACATTAAAATGTCAAACCGGAGTTGGCAAAAAATTAAAAGAAAGATGTCCTTAGAACGGCTTCACTAATTACCACTAATTAATAGTATATATATAGATTAACTTTGCATAAATACAGCTTATACATCAGAATAACATATATGTTACAATTTACAAAAGTTTTGTGTAATTTTGATCATAAGTATTAAGTAAGTCGTAAAAATTCTTTCTCCCTGAGAGCTATCTTGGCGTGTCTGCCTATATCGTTGGAGTTAATGTACCGTAAGATTGTTTATTTTAAATAGTTCTAAATAAATGTCCGCGATAAAATATATCTACCTTCTATGTGGTAGCCACTATATGCAAAATATTGAGCCATGAATACTTTAACCAAGTTAGCGTCCTCAGGAGATCATTATGACTGTTATAATGATCTCTCGATAGTTACAATATTTTTTATCAACCCAAAACTTCAGGTTTCTAACTTTTCAAAACTGACGAAATTCAATACAATCATTGAACCCCTATTTTTCCCCCTGGGGTGTAAACTCCTGATTCCCTTTCGTGATGCTCATTTACGCTATACAAAGAACCTACCTGCATTATCAAGATGTTAGGTTCAGTAGCTTCGGCTGTACTTTAATATAAGGGTGTCAGTCAATCAATAGGTACCCACTTATACAATACTAGCTGTTCCTCGCTGTTTTACCCGCTTTACCATCTTAACCTACCCTATGTGTTATTCCAGGTCATGATCTATCTATATACCAAGTTACATTTGAATCCGTGGCGATGTTTAGTCGTGAAAAAGTAAAAAACGTAAATATATGCAGTAGATTCATCCATCCTCACAAACTTCACGCATTTATAATATTAGTAGGTTAGGGTTAGTAGGATAACCAATGTATTTCATTCTTGTCCTTTCAGTTTTTTTTGCAGATGCTATTCAATATTGTAAAAGTACGTACCTATTGATTGACTGACATTCTTATATTAACGTACAGTCGAAGCTACTGAACCTAGAATCTTGGAATATGCAGGTAGGTTTTTTGTATAGTGTGAATAAGCATCGCAAAAACAATATGTTTGTAAATTAAATTTAAACAATATGTACCATGGAAGTTGTAACCAAGTCCCAAAAAAAAAGCATTGATGAAACAGCAGAACATGTATAGAATCAACAAAAGACTCATTAAATGAATATCAAAAATAAACAAGGCTCCCCAAGGTGGTTCGTTGCAAAACCAAACTTTGGCATTGACCACCTAAAAAATATTCGTCCTTTTATCTGCAAAACTAAAGCATTCGTGATGTTACACTGTACAGAACTGTTTCCACCCACCATAAGCCTTACCTGGGGTGTTAGGCATAACCGACCACCGACATAACCTGGTTATGTCGATGAGAAAGACAGAGGGTGAATTTCGTTTAATGGCCATAGATGGCATCTCCTTCGAGCATAATGGAAGGTTTAAATTCTATATCACAGGGATTCACTCTGAACCCGCCATTTTTTACTTAATTCACGATAAAGCACTAACATATTTTCCCGATAACTTTGATGACAGAATTCAAAGTTAGGTAGAAAATAATATGAAAACGCGGTTGAAAGTCGCCATAAACATTTCCTGGTGAACATCGCCACATCGACCACAGATGGAAAATTTGTATAATATAACTAAGTAGTTTTACAATGCACTTTATAATACTACTCGACCCCTTTTCATTGAACCGTACCTTTCTTCTTTTCGGCCGCAAGTTTTCTCTTGTATTTTGGATATGAAGATGCCACAATTGGTTTTAGCAGTTCTGGTGGAAGCGAAAACAGGGACCTATCTTCTATATTGAAATCGGATGGTAAAGTTAATCTAGGTACTTTGATATTGAGATCCCCTCTAGCATCTAACTTGGCTCGCTTCTCCGTTATCTTCTTCACCAGGCGGTCTCTTTCCACGTCTCTGGACGTCATATTCCAGGGTTATTTACCTATAACAATAGGTGAAATTTAAAATGTTCATGTATATAATCTCAGTAATGAATGAGTATGACTTCTGTAAAGCCGCTATCTGCGATAATGATTTTGAAGATTAGAAATGGTTTCAATGTTTGGTGGTGATGGTGAGGTGGTCTCCAAGTTCGCTATTAACCCAGTAGAAGAAATAAATAAATAAGTATGTTTCGAGAAAGTAAAGTCAATTCACAAACTTTAATAGTCTATAGTGCTAGTTCTCCTTTTCGAAAATAATATAATGGAATAGATTATTTCAAACTGATGTATGCTGAGGATCCGAAAATGTTTCATGAAATTTAAAATGTTGAAGATTGCCAACACATCCAAAGAAATGTCTAAATTATATTTGAACGGTGCTGCAGCAATGATTTAAAGCTCAAGGTCAAAAAATGCGGTGCATTAACTTTCACAAAAAAAATTCATTCGTTGATAATTGACTACAAAATGGAATCAACCTCACTAAACAGATGTCAAAACCTTAAAGATCTCGGTATTATATTTGATCAGAAACTTATATTTGCTGATCTTGGTGGAAAAACTATTCTCAGCTAACAGAATGCAAGGTTTCATGATGGGAAATAGCAAAGATCTTATGAACATGGATGTAATTAAGTTACTTTTTATGTCCGGTCAAAATTAGAATGTGGCATAATTTTGTGGTATCTAATATATGCGGCTTACTCAGCTTCCATTAAAAGAATTCAGCGGATATTTCTCAAATGTATTTATTTTCAGCTATGAAGTATTTATCCTGAGAAAAGAATTCCTAATAGTCAACTACTCGAAGAATCGACGTTCGTTAGTTTAGGTATCAGACGAGTAATTTCAACAGTGACTTTTTTCTATATAATCTGTTGCATAACAATATTGACTGCGTATCTCTCATCAGAAATCCCTTTTTAGGTCATTGACATAACACTTGAGTATGAAATAACGTTCTACTTAGATTCTGCAAGAACAAATATTGCAGTGTTTTACGGAAACTCATGAGAAACGAACAAGCCAGGTAGCTTCCAAATGAAAAAAAAACTAATTAAAAAAATCAGCATCAGCAAAATTACGCACAGTTGCCTCAAATTTTTGTACCTATTGTTTGTATTGGTAACCTTTTAGAAGACGATTTTTGATTGACAAGGTGACTGTTAAAGTTCTCGAAATCTCCATTGAAAGATACCTAATTGCTGTAAAATATCATTTAATCGGGTCCTTACCTACCGGTACAAAATATTTTTTATTTGTTTCAAATGCATTTGAGGTTGCAAGAATCGTTGTGACGTCACGATTGTTGAAATTTGAGTGTCGATTGAACTATCCCATAAAAGTTAAGTATTCTGTCTGCCATCGAACTGACATATGTCAGAATCAGATTTTTTGATATATATTTTGTCAGTTGTGAGGTTATAAAATAACCTGTTTTTAATGTATCTTAGTTTCCGTAGTTAAAAAAAAAATAGATTTCAAAATGGTAAGAAAACATACCTGGTACTTTTACTTTTCTTTCCAAAACTATTCGTCACGTAACATGTTAAAAACTGAAACAAAACGAAAACTCGGTTTTCTTGAGTTAAACTAATTATTTACCATGGTTACCCAATCAATTTTCCGTCATCGATTAATCAAAATAACATAAATTTTTTGTAAGTAATCATGCACTGAAGCACATATTTCAAGAATGACTTTATTTTATTTTGCAAGCCTAGGAATTACTGCTGTCATTTTCCTAACTATTGTACTCACTGTTTACCAGATACTCACCAAAGCGATTACAAGGTTTTTCCACCTAACTAGTTACAATTCAGCAGCTGAGAAGTCTTTGCTTGCCACACTTCGCAAGAAAACAGGATACACTTTTGCGAACTGTAAAAAAGCACTGGATATGCATAACAACGATTTGAATCAAGCTGAGACTTGGCTGAAACAGCAAGCACAATCTCTTGGTTGGTCGAAAGCTACAAAACTGGAGGGCAGACAAACCACTCAGGTAATAGTTAATATAATCTCCTGATGATCGTGTATTGATAATAAAATATTCCGATTTCTAATACATATGAAAGGAAATTTTGATACATATTTGTTTCAATGGCTCTTGCTAGTTTTTAAAAAAGTTTTCATTATCCTTAGGTACATATTTTTGTCTGCTGATCACAAATATAAAATCAAAAGTGGCCTCTCGTCTACTTTTGGAGAGACCTTTTGGAGAGAAGGTCACTCAAAAGTTGAAAATTGTAACAAAATGATTGCTTCAGAAATTCATCATGAATGAAGTCGATATATATTGCATTTAGCGATCAATTTTGTGGTATCAGCTCTAGTTCTATTAAATTCTCGGCTCACATATTTCTATACCTTTTAGTATAACTATTCAGTCTTCATGGAATAAATAGTGGAAGATTTTGAATGCCAAAAAAGAAAGTTGCATTCCTTTTCCTTGTCGCTGTATAAGTTTGTGAACATCATAATAATTTTTGGTTCAATTTTGTAACACTGCAAGCAGAATAAACAAAAACAAACCTTTTCAAACTACCATTCAGTTTCTTGAAAAATTATGATGTAGTTTGCTGAAAAAGATACATGTGTTAGGAAATTAAATGTTTTGTTTGGAAAAAGTGGAAGAGGCAAGTGAATAAAGGTCCACATCATGTGATGTGTTAAGAAAGTGAAACTATGATTTTTATTGCCAAAAGTGAGTTCTGTATTTCCAACAGAAGACCAAAACACTAAGCTTTTTCAGGAGATCATACGAGTTGTTAACAAATATTTTGCAAAGTTTGATTGCTAATCATCTCTGATTTTGAATTATTATTGTGGAGTATTTGAAATTATTATTTCATATCAAACTAATTATTTCAAGAATATTCACAAATTCACTATTTGATTCTCAAGGGCCTTGTGGGTGTAGTAGTGAAAGAGAATGATGGAGTATTGGTCGAGGTGAACTGTGAGACTGACTTTGTGGCAAGGAACAGGGAGTTTCAGAAAATTGTCGAAGATGCTGCTAGAACTTGTTTAGATTTTGTCAGAAATCATCAGAAGTCACAAGATAAAATCACCAAAGTGAGTATATGGATTATCAAATTTCTATGATTTTGAATAGAAATGTCATTTATAGTTCTTGAATATCCAAACATAATATCATGTCCAAAGACTAGTTCAGTTTGAGGGCTCCGAAAATTTGTTGAATCAATAATTTTTTTGTTTTTTTTTTTTGAGAAAGTTCAATATGAATGTTTTTTACACCCTCCTGTCATTGTATGCTTTCTATATGGTGTGTATATGTTTAAATTTGGTAATCTAGAATCAATTTGTGGGTATTTTTCCTATTATTTCAACGGATTGAAAGGTTGAATAGCAATCTGTTAAGGCACATCTACATAATATGGTTTGAAGATTGGTAAAGTATCAAAAATAATTTTACAATGATATTCTTTCACAACATATTTACTTTTATTAACTCATGATGTATGCTTAGCCCCGTGATAGAACTTTCTTGATAATTAGCTCTAACATGTTTTAACTTCTGAGAGTGGCAAACCAGATTTTAAAATATTTACCTGCTTCAGATATGCCTAGATGCAGAACAACTGAAAAACTTGAAGGCTGCTGATGGAAAATTACTGGCTGATAAGCTTGCCCTGGCCATTGGTACCCTTGGAGAAAATGCAACATTAAAAAGAGCTTTGTGCCTAAAAGCTGGAAATGGCATTCATCTCTCAGGTAATTGCTTTAGTTTTTAATCATGTATCTGGTAAAAATCGTGAATTCCGTAACACTGGAACTAATACTGCTCTCTCCACTTTCTCTTTCATTCTTAGTGTTGTAGAAAGTAATTTTATCCAAACCTACTGACTACACTATAGGACCACCCTCTCACCAGTTTTTTCTCTCTTAGAATCATAGTTCTATTCATATCTCCATATCTACGTCACATCCATCAGAGTTTCATTCTTTTATCTTCTAAGACTTTTCAGAAAAAAAATTATTTTAGTGTAATACCTACTGTTGAATTTTTACTCATAGAAAGTAAAAAAAAAATATCTGATGCTATCACCTAATGCATACAGAACAACTATGCCCAAGCTGTTAGTCTTAATATTCAAAGTATGTAAAATGAAATGAAAATTTTATTTTTGCTATATTATAAAATCAGATTTTTCTATTTTTTTGTCAAGGAGTGATATGTTTCATAAGAGGATTGTAAGATTTGAAATATTCTTAGCCAGAACTGTCTACCATATTTTTTAAATTGTTAGGAAAAAAACAGAAGCTTTAAAGAAAATATCTAGTACAATAATTTTCTTTTTCAGATTTTAGAAGTTCAACTTGTTTTGGATATAAGTTGTATGCATGATTATCTCTAGTGCAACAGGCTCACAACGAAACTGAAAATTATTACAACGATGTGGAGTCACAAATTTTCATTACATTCTTTTGAATGAAATCTATATCTGACCTTCAATACGTAAAATTTCAGATATTAGATCAATAGTGAAAGCATTAATTTTTTGGATGGAATTTAAGAATGAAGTAGGGTCAGTGAAGTGAATTCGATGACATTTATCCATTATTGAAAAAAAGTTTATTTTTGTAATAGGATTATTCAAATCTTATTGCAATTCCTTTGTTGATATATTCAAAATTAGCAGTAGACTTCTGGGTCTTAGATACTATAATCTTGAAGTTTATTATTTCTCTGTTACATACTGACTTGTTACTGACCTATGATCAGATGAGAGACAACAAGTTGTCCTCTATCAACATATTCAACAAAGTAGGTTGATTGTTCATCATTTAACAATCCACTGATTGCAATGTTAAATCAGAATTAGCACCACTGAAATGTAAATATTTTTTTTTCCACAGGTTTGTTACTGATATGAAATATCTAACTTTTATGATTGATAAAACAGTGACAGTCAATAATCATGCTGATTATATTATAAAAAAAAACCTCAAAAAATGTTTTTTTTGCAATGCATCTAAGCATTTAACTCAAAGAGTCACAATTTACAACTATATAGTTCAGCCACATTTTGACTTCTGTGCTACATTATTGTATCTTCTAAATCAAAATGAGTTAGATCAACTACAAAAACTGCAAAACAGAGGTATGGGTATGACTGAGATGCAATCGACTTACTTCTAAAAAGACTATGCTCGATTCTCTTCACTGGTTATCAACCTTTATTGAGAAATCAGCACATTCTAGATTGTTTGAATATCTTGAGAATTTAAAATTTATTATATAATGGACAATACTGATTCCGAAAAAATAGTAACACGAAGTCCTCATTATCAGATGTCATAACCTACTTCCAGCTAGATTTAGATTTAAACAAAAAATGTGGACCTGAAGAAAGCATTTGATACTGTGGACCATAAAATTCTTTCGAAAATAATGCATGATATAGATATCCGAGTTGGTTTCAAAATTATTCATTGATTAGAAAGCAGTATGTTCATATGAATGACATAATTAGTTTAAAAAATGTTTGAGGTACCGCAGAAAGTTTATTTGCTGAAGACACCACTTCAATTTATTTTCAAAAATTCAATATATAATATATGTGAATTGAAGGGGTTATATTTTTAGGAGTGATTAATTTTTGGGAAAGAAAGTTTTTGGCTTTCTACTACTCCATCTTGATACAAAAAAAATGAAGAGGGAATCTTCCAAAGAAAGGAAGGAAGTAATCAATTTGGAAATAAGTAACTCTATACATGGATGTGTAGATCATGCAAACTGAAAGAAAGTCCTCCTGAAACAGCTACTTTCATATAAACATTGAATTACATGAAAGAAAAAAATTATTTCGAAACAAATACTTCTATATGAACACTGAATTATACAGAAGATACTTTTCTCTACTCAGTTTGTATTTCAAACATTCGTTGTGGAATAGAAATCAGATATCATTCACATGAGTTCTACTTTGAATGAATGGTAATAAATTGCACTTACATGGAACACTGTCACCCTCACTGGTATACACCGATGTTTCGCCTTAAGACATTTGCCCCGAGGCTCTTCAGTACCAAATTGGATAACATTATAGAAAATACACACAATTCATTCATGAATTACGATTTTTTAATGTCACGGAATAAGCTTGATCTGCTTATGTCATCGATGACATATGCATATGTGAAATGCAAATCGCTAAGTATCAAAAGTTTATTTTTTCAGTGATATATTTCATTTCAAGTCAACAATTATAAATACAAAAGTTACTAACTAAATACTCTTCAAAGATTTATATTATTTTGTATATTTTCAGGGCGAACTTTTCAGTTTGCCCTTCATTGTACTTGAACACATTGTCTGTTGATATATTCATTAATTTCTCAGATTTTAGTGAAACATAATTTTCTCAAACATCACACTTCCATTCAAACCAAACTTTCATGAAAAGTATTTTCTAAAATTATAAAATGTATATCTGAAAATATAATCATTACAGCTTATGCCCACCCATCAGGAAGTGCTAGTGATAAAGTCTTACTTGGTAGACTTGGAGGTTTATTGGCTTATAAAGCAGCTGAATCAACTGAAAATACGATAGAACTGGGAAAAGGTAAGTAATACCAATATAAAGATCATTGGATTGAATAGAGTAATAAAACTATATTCTGAATGTTTAAGATTTTTAATTTAGGTTATTTCTTAAATAAAATGTTTGTTTTCCAATTCTATTTGATGGAAGATATAAGTCTCACATGTCGGAAAATATAACCTTCAGTTAATTTAAATTTTTAATGAAAAATAGTCAAACTATTCAATAGAGTTGTCAGTTTTCTAGTAAGCATTATGCCAAAAATATTGATACAGAGTAATTTAAAGAAAAAATCCTCTTAAAGTTGTACTGTAGAGTCAAATGTAACAAACCTACTTTTCAATTCATTTGAATTGTTGATTTTATTGTATTCTATTCAATTTTCATGAAATTTTATGAATATTTCAGTGTATTTGAAAAGGCATGAAAATTCATTTTCACTATTTTTCTAAAAACATTTGATAGTTAGCAAGACAAAAAAATCCTGAGATTACTAGGGCTGATGTCCACAATTGATTTATTTTCCTTCTTCAAACTTGTGAGTTTCTATTGACTTCTGATGAAATTCAATGGAGACTGGAGTCGCAGAAGAGATATTTTCAAATTTTCATGGTTATCTAATGGCCACTGGCAGTAGAGTCTTCTAGAGGCTTTCTAATGAATCGTCTCACTGTACTCCTCAAGTTGATAGAAAGATTGGTATCTGTGTCTTCACACATATGTAAAAAATCATTTCACAATTATATATGACTGATTTCAATCAAAAAGTGTAATTTCTTCAGGAATTTGTCAACATATAGTTGGAATGGATCCCAAGAAAATTGGAACACCAACTGATGAACCCGCCAAAAACAAAGATGAAGAATCATGTCTAATTCACCAGGAATATTTGTTAGATGATAGCATTACTGTGAAAGATATCCTTGAAGAACATAAACTGGAAATTATAGATTTCAAGAGATTTGAATGTGGAGAGAATATGAATGCCATAGGAGACCAACCATTAGAGTATGTTGAAACTTGTCAATAGTCTGGAATGTTTAACCGCTATTATTAATAGAAAATACAATTATGTCAATAAATAATATGAAAACATAATCGAATTTCACTTCTCAATACATTTTTGATGAATATATGACAATAATTTAGAAAAATATCAATACATTCAGTTTATGTTTACTTCGTCATGAGCACATGTCATGCAGATCAGTTTTATGTCAATTTTCATTATTTGAAACCTTATCTGAAAGAATGATTGAATGACAATATAATCTAGTTATATGTTCGGAGTACATTTTTTTCTAATACTTTTTTAAACAACTCGAGAAACAAACCTCAATATTTCATTCAAGTCACGTTTCATTGAGAGATTTTCACTATATGATAGCTTTCTCATGTTCATGTATGAACACGCTATTGTATAGTAAACTGTGTAGTGATTTTGTAAACTATTCAGTGAAAATATCATCAAGTGTCGGCCAAGAAGAATCAATACTGCTTCAATCTATAAGGTAATAGTAATTTTGATTGCAAATCCCTGATAAATACCCATTCCAATCAAATACAACTTCACAATAAAAATCTCATCGGTTAGGTGAAAAATATCTGTCATGATTGAAACAATGTCCTTCTGCTAAAAAAGTTTTGCACATGTAGAATTGGTATTTCCCTTCGAAAAACTACTTCTATGTTCTTTAATTCTGTGGGAAAAAGTTTTTTATGTTTGGCCAATATAAAGTTGTGGGCTAGAACCACAAGTCAACTTATATACTCCTGATCTATCCGACAATGAAGTTTTGACTTTATTGTTTTCAACAAATTCACTCAAATTATTATTCGTTCTGCAAGCCACGTCCAAGCATTCCTTTTTCAGAAAACCAGTGATATTATTGGCGGCTTCATCAAAATATGACAATGTCCTATAGTGGACGCTATCGTTTCTTGAATTTCGGTAGACCTGGTCCATGGTTTTGCAGTTTTTTTGAAAGAATAAAGTCGATAGTATCTACCTTGTTACCGTTGATGAAAGCGATTTGATGAAACTCAGCTCTCTCTGGAAATTACTTTCCGACAGTGGTATATTCAATAGTCTTTGAAACATATTATTGAATGCAGCTACTTTATGCTGGTAAGAGTGTGTGGACGATTTATGTATGAAGTGTTTTTGGGAATACTGATTCAATTCAAATTTGAAAACAGTTTTAATTTATATCAACTCCTTAGGGTAGCAAGGGGGAGTGGCGGTCACTTGAGGAAAACGTGGTATATTTTTTAAATTATTTATTATAATTCAAAATCAAGAAAAGTAACAAAGTCTTCAGTTATCAAGTAATCAACAATTCAACAACAAAAGCATATATTTTTGACCTACTTTGGGTAATACCGCTCAGGGTACGGGGTAATGAGATCAACCTTATATTTTATTTTTGGACACATGCTCTTCATCTTCACTCTGAAAAACTTTTTTTGTAAAATTTTTCTCTTGCAAGATTTTTCTTTCAAATCTTAGTTCTCTTCTTTGCCAACTTTTTTTGTTCTTGATTTATGATTTATGTTTTTTCTTTTCTTTATCTTCTAAAATAATTTTCATAGGAGGCATGTTGTTTTCGCTTTCTTTAACCTGGCTTAGGTGGTGCAATAGTTGGTGTCGTTGCTATAGCAGCAAAGGATACCGGAGTTCATTGCACATCAACAAGTTCTTGGTTACAAGCAACTGTCAAAAACAGATCCAGAGCATTAATCCTTATTTGATGGACCTTTCAAAGGAGATGTAGGTATATACTTTTTGTGAGTAATTGACCCTATTACCCTCTGTAAAACATCACGCCTGGGAGATTAATATGTTTTGCTCTGAATATTTTAATTGCAAATATATTCGTAATTTCAGTCTAAACAACAGATATCATGGGCGGATTGATATTAAATAGTTGACTATTATACATTTATAAAATAACTCTTTGAAAGACAATATTGTTACTGATAAGCCAGATAAACCCGCTTCACCTTTCCTAGGAAAAACTTTAAAAATGTGAAAGATATAAGAAATAAATTGGTTCAGCTTCAACTGATATCAAACGAAGTAAATTGTGATATATTTTGTGTGAGTGAACCTTGGGTTAAGAATGCCAAAGCCAGCTAGAAATGAATTTATACATGGTGGGGTAGGAACCTATATAAAACAAGGCATTATTTATAATAAGATTATGGCTCTTTAATGAACTTTTTGGCCTGTCTCATACCCGGCGCCTTATTCCACTATTTTTGAGATTGTTTTTCCTTCCAGTTGATGTTAAAAATTTTTCGCAGCACTTTTGCTGTACCACAAAAGGGATCTGGGCCAATGGGGGAGCGTCATGCTCCTTCTCGTGCTAATAAATCAGCCTCTTCGTTGTCCTTGTATCCTGTGTGGCCTGGTACCCAGGCTAATGACATATTTATAATAAAGTACACACTGTATCTTATGAGAAACGTTTTGAGTGCACATCTATCAGATGCAAAGTACATAAGAACCTTGAGGTGTTACTTATTACAGTGTACAGAAGCACTGATGCAAATATTGAAATCTCTGAGAAACTACTTGAAACACTTCAGTTTCTTACTGATAAATATAGAAAGTTAAAGTTGGTTTTAGCTGGCGATTTTAATGTAATTTTTTTTAATTCTCGAAATCTTGAAAACCTAAGAGAATGTCTCAACCTATTCTGTTTAATCACTACAATTCATTCTCCAACCCGTGGTAAAACTTGTTTGTACAACATTTGTGTCAAATTAAAGGAGAGCACTTACAACTGCAAAAACTTTACTAGTAACATAAGTGACCATCAGTCTTGCCAGATATTGAGTATCAATATTGAATCACATCACGAATATACCAGTCTGACTTACGAATACAGAGAGATAAACAATCACGATAATATTACGAAGTTCTTGTCCTTACTCAAAGAGGAAAATTGGTTCAAAATTTATCAGTCAAGTGAAAATGCTAATGTTAAATTTGAAAAATTCTTAGAAACCTTCAGGCACTATTTTGAAATCGCTTTTCCATTGAGACGAAAAAAAAAGAAACAAACAAAACGCAAACCCTGGTTAACTAAAAGCTTAATGATATCGGGACAAAAACTAAAGGATCTGTATTTTCTCACATTAAATGGCAGTAATGATATGAAAAATTACCACATAAAATATAAAAAGTTATATAGAAAATTACTAAATGAGACGAAAAAGCTTTAGTACTTCAATTTATTAGCGAACACTAAAAATAAATATGTCACTGCTTGGAATATTCCGAGATCTAATAATGATAAAATGAAGCAGAAAAATCAAAAAATAATATTTAACTCCAAATATTCTTCTGCAGAAAAATAAGGTTACTAAAAGCGAAGTAACTCTTAAATACATCAATGCTCATTCTCTCTACTTCATACCTACCTCAGAGTATGATATACTAGACATTGTCATTAACCTAAGCCACTCAAATTCCACCAGTGACGACGGAATAAGTATGAATATACTGAAAAAATGCATACATTTTATAGCTGAACCTCTTACTTACTTGATCAATTGCTCTTTGGAATAAGGGATTTTTCCTGAGTACCTGAAGATTTCAAAAATTGTACCAATTCATAAAAAGGGAAATGACACTGACATACAAAATTTCAGACCAATTTCCCTCATTAGCCCACTCTCAAAAGTATATGACAAATATGTTTCAAACCTAATGATAACTTTTTTCAATAAATGGGGTCCATTTAATGTGAACCAGTTTGGTTTTCGCAAGGGATTGTCCACAAGTCAAGCGATTACACAGTTCCTCAATAACAGGGAGTTGGATGAAGGTTAAAAGACGCTAGGGATTTTCATAGACTTGAGTAAGGCATTTGATCTGGTAGATCACAAAATTCTCCTAACCAAGCTTGAAATGTATGGTATCAGGGGAATAACCCACAAATGGTTTGTAAGTTACTTAGAGGGTAGATACTACTATGTAGAGGTTAGCAGAAATAAATCAGAATCTAAAAATTGTTCCTTCGGGGTTCCTCAGGGTTCTATATTAGGTCCACTCTTATATATAATATATGTAAATGATTTTTATAGTGATCAGTTCGTTATGTATGCTGATGACACATCTTCATTGATAACTCAGGAAAATATTAAACCCACAGTTAATAAAGCATCTGATGAAATATAAAACCCAAAAGTGGTTCTCAGACAATGGTCTCTTGTTAAATAAAAGAAAAACTGTGCTTTTACGTTTTAATCATTCAAGAACCACTCCAGATCATAGTTTACTAGTAACGTCAACTAATGGATCAATTCAACAACAAGAGGAGACAAAATTTTTGGGTTTGAAGATAACAGAAAATCTCAAATGGAACAAGCATATTTATAAGATTTGTAAAAAGATATCCTCAATATCTTATTGTATTCAACAACTACGCTGGAATGTAAATAGATCACTCTTATTAATGTACTACCATGCTTACTTATATTGTAACATTTCCTATGGTATCTGTTAAAGCTTCTTGGGGAGCATCTAGTGATTGTTCCAGAATACTCGGAATTTAAAAAAGAACCATATATATCGTTGTAGAAAGTGTATACGCAATGGTGGAGGACATTTTGAACACCAACAATAAATTTTTACAGTACAAAACATTTTTCTCTTTAATTCCACAAAAATCCATATTTACGACCTTTAACTGGTTCAGGTACCCTAATTAAAAAAGTTTAAGACTTAGCTAGGTAAATGATACCTCAAACGAAATAGCAATAACTAAGCATGTTTTTAAAGGTGTCTGAACACCTGTATGTATTTTATTTATTTTTTTAATTGGCATCAAAGGTCAGATTTTTTATTTTCTTTCTTTTTTTGTGAAGTTTAAATGCTCTGTACATAACTTTTTTGGATACAATGGTGCTTCAAACTACTTTAGTACGATTGGGGACACATAAGACTACTAAAATAAACCGGACATTTCTGTTAAGATTCGAAGTTATTAGCATTTAATTGATCAATTTTGGGTTTTTGTGCTGAAAATCGTAAAAGTAATTTTGTATTTGTACACGTTTTGATATACTCAGTGTCATCTATAAATGATCTAGCTGAATAAATATTGAAAAAAATAATAATACCTAAGTGATTAATCAATAATAATCTAGGTTCGGTAAAGTAACTCATTAATTTCTTATAGTTCTTTCTCATAGTGCTTGTTGTGCAATTTGTTGCTACCCAACTTATTTTTTAATAAATAAAACCCCCCAAAATATTTGGCGGCGACCGGTAACCGTACCTGCCTTACTCAAATGACAAGTCTGAATAAGTTAGCATGTTTATCTTATGAAGAAGCTATTGATAAAAAAACAGCGTTGGATCATGAATGCTCGATATTTGGGTAATGTTGTCAACCAGTTGACTGACGAAAACAGGAGATGGTTTTTAGAATGGGCTGCCTTGGAGAGCCTCTTTCATCATTGATATTCGTGGTTTAACTCTTTCATGGATCCCATAGATGGCGTCTTCATTAGAGATGTTCGTGCTTATCATATTAGATAGTGATTTTAAATAATATGACTGGGATCTATTCAACATTCATTTATTCGCCTACAAGTAAGTAGAAATATTCCAAAATGTAACAATGTTCATAAATAGGTAAAAATATATTTACATTGATTAAAATTTTAAAAATTCTTTTGTACAACCAAAATCGTTATAACAATATTTATTTATGATCTTTGGTTTGTAAATTGGTCTCTGTACCTGTCACCAACAGATTTGTTCAATTTCATTTCCGAACTATTTTTCCACAACCATATTCTACAGTCTTTTTTCCAACGATAAGCCAGGTCTTTGAGAGAGTAATGTTTATTTCCTGCATTCAAAATATTCATTCTGATCATGACGATCTTGTCTGTGGCTGCGTCCACCGTTTCAATGTCATCTAGTAAAAACATGTTCGGGGTGATTTCGCCGTTTTTGTCATTCTTCACCTTCAAAATAATTATTAAAGCTATTAAATAAATACGATTATTGTGAATGCAGACAATTTTAAAAACACGATTTTCATTTAGTAAAGTTAGTCAATAATAGCCTCTCATTTTCCATTTTTACTTGTAGTTGAAAATTATTTCAAAATTTCAATATACTAGAAATCAATCATTGAAAGAGTTCGACTGCAGAGGGATGATGTACGGGACAAAAGGCGGTTAACAGGAAAACATTTTTTTGACATATTTCTAATGACCTGTTATAAACAAACTTAACTAGGGTAAATAATGAAAAAATATTCAATAGTGAAAAGAGAGTTGATATGCTTTTTGCTAGGCGTCTTGGATTGAGGGGGTTGTTTTTTTTTATATATTTCAAACTGTTCCACTTTCACAATGGTCAGTGACTCTGCAGTACCTCTCCCACAGCAAATAAAATAACATTATGAAAATAATACAAAAGAAAACAACGAATTTCCGAAATAAGTTACCTAACACCAACAAAAAATCGGGGTGAACAACCCACTTTTGACAGAAAACAAATTTGAGTAAAAAAATAATTCATACATTTGAAAATCGTCTCAGAACAAAATTTAGTTAATGACAAAAAAAGGCCCAAACTGGTAGCGGACGATTTTCATTATTTTTTGTGAAGATTCTCAAAAAAAAAATGCTGAAAAAAAGTCCCGTATGTAAAAACGTACTATGCATGACTTTGCATGGCATCTATGATAATAAATATGAAGATATTTCTGTTAAACTCTAAAAATATCAGTGGTTTACCAATATTTTGAAATGATAAATATTTCAAAGACATGTTAATTTCTTATATGTAGTCTATACATGACATGATTGCGGTTGCTATATTTCTTGATATTGAAGGAGCATTTGACAATGCACTACCTAAATCTATAGGATTGTCTCTGGCTAGAAAGGGTATAGAATCGACCATAACTGGCTGGATCTATGCCATGCTAGTAAACAGAACTGCAACTACGACTCTTCAAGGCGAGGCTACCAGGTTTAGGGTCACCAGGGGCTGCCCTCAAGGTGGAGTACTATCTCCCCTTCTGTGGTCGCTCCTGGTAGATAGTCTGCTTGATGCCCTCGACAAAAGAAAAGTTGATCTGCAAGCTTATCCAGATGACCTTGTCATCCTGGCAAGGTCCACGTCGGGAAGGGTAGCTTGTAATATTGTTCAAAGCGCGTTGGACGTTGTTCACAGTTGGTGCCTGAGGGAGCAGATGTCTGTCAACCCCAGTAAAACTGTGTTAATCCCCTTCACCAAGAGAAGGAAATTGGACGATCTAACGTCACTTTCCCTCAATGGTGTGGTCATTCCATTTGGAATGGAGGTGAAATATCTTGGCATAGTCCTTGATAAAAGACTCACCTGGAACGCTCACTTGGAAAAAGTTTTACACAAAGCCAGACTGTCTCTATGAACATGTCGAAGGATTTGTGGTAAAACTTAGGGTTTAGTTCCCAAACAAATTCATTGGATTTATGTGATGATTGTCAGACCAATGATCACGTACGGTGCAATTGCTTGGTGGCTGAAGGCTTTACAGAAAACGGCCCAAGCGAAGCTCTCTGGCTTACAGAGACAGGCTTGTCTGGCTATCAGTGGTGCCATCAGTACCACACCATCAGCGACCATGGAGATCCTTCTAGATCTACCTCCTCTCCACATTTTTCTGGAAAGAGAGGCTAGATGGACTGCATACAGACTTGTGCACATTGCCAATTGCACAAATCAACTCAATGCAGAGTGCAACAGACTGTTGCAGAGGACTGGATCCTGCGGGAGAAGGAAATATTAAGAGCAGATAGTTGTTGGTTCACAGATGGATCAAAAACACATTCCAGTTCTGGTGCAGGTGTTTTCAGTCGCAGACCCAAGTCAGAGTTATCTACCTGCCTAGGAACTTAGGCGACTGTATTTCAAGCGGAAATTTACGCTATTGAATTGTGTGCGGAGAGATTGGATAAATCCAACCTCACTCACAAGTCAATAAAACTATTCTCGGACAGTCAAGCGGCGTTGGAAGTTCTTGGCTCCCACCGAGCAACGTCTAAATTGGTACCAAACTGCCAAAAAAGAATCTCCTCAATAGGAAGACTAAACAGATTGTCTCTGGTCTGGATTCCTGGCCATACTGGCCTGGAAGGCAATGAAGCTGCTGACTATCTTGCAAAGGAGGGTGCTGCAAGCGGCTTCATTAGACCAGAACCTGTCATTGGCATCGCTTTGGGCTTTGCCAAACAAACACTTAATACCTGGATGGCAAGAAGAGTTATGGACTTCTGGCAGAATCTTTCAGGATTGGCTCACTTCAAGGCGTTTATTCACCCTTCGAAGCTTGATTCCAAACAGTTGTTGGACTACAGTAGGGATGAACTACGATGTCTAACAGACCTTCTTACAGGTCACTGTCATTTGAATTATCACATGCAGAGACTTGGACTGTCGGAAGACAGTGTGTGTGTCTCCTCTGTCTGGAAAATGATGAAACTGCAGAGCATATACTTTGTGCCTGCCCCGCTGGGGACTGAATCAGGTTCTTGGAGTTCGGCAGATCCGTACTCTCACCATCTGACCTGAAAGACCATTCACCATACAAATTAATCGGCTTCGCTAAGAAGCTGGGTTTGTTTGGCCGAGTGTGAATAGGTATGAGCCACAATAAACCCTTATGGGTTGCGGTGGAGGGTCGAATAGACCCACTCACTTTAGACCTACCTACCTAACTATACATGACACATACTTAATACCCCAGAGATAACCGAGTAGTAAATTCAAAATATATTTTGTCTAAAAGATAATTTTTTGTTGAAAAAGTATAGCTGTAAATAAAACTGTTAAGAAGTAGAATAACAAATTCACATATGGAAACCTCTCAGTAAAAATAATCAAAATGCTATGCTAGATCCACATCAACAGAATAGATCCCTCTAAAAAAGCAGTACCATCATTGTTGTCGACTTGGGTAAAAGTTTCAATGCTCTTTTCGAATATAACTCTATCAAGATAAATGAAGTTGATGTTAAAACATTTAATTTAAAAAAACTAATTTGACCGGTGAGAATATTTAATTTTCAGAATTATAAAGTTCTCAAAGACATTGAACTATCACAGAAAAATTCAAATTAAATTTGAATCATTTTCCTTCAACAATATTTGTGAGAAACTGATGTTGAAAACATTTATCAACAATTTATCAAGTTTGTAAGGGAAAACTTCTCAAGATACTGAATATCATTAAGGTATTCAATAAAACAATCATAAGTTTCTATCATCAACCATAAAAATTTCATTGGATCTCAAAAAAATATTGAAATATGTTATTCCATTCAATACCCACCTCGTTTTCTTCAGAACCCACACTTTTGGCATCTTCTGTTCCACCTGTATATGACTTGGTATCTCTCAAGTTCAGATGTGTCCCAAGAATAAATCCCAAACTAGTGGTGGAAACTGATCTTCGTAGTGGTGTTGTTTTTACCGATTTAAAATTTAACTTTTTTGAAACGATATCATCAGAAGTCATTTTGGCAAGTTAATTTGACACTTACATCAATTATAAATAAGGTTTCTTGGATGATTATTTTTAACAATCTTTGATTCTCACTTGACAAATCATTTACTTTTTTGTCTGTTTTATGTAAGTATGAAAAGTCTTCAAATAGTGATTTGCATGAAACAATTATGGGAGTGATCCGAAGCTAAGAAAATTTTCAACTACAATTAATTGTTCAATAGTTCTCTAGCTCATCTAATGATGTGTTAAGAAAGAAATTTATAAATATCATGACCATTTTGTATTGAAAGATTAGGGTATTAAAAAACCATTTGTAGTCAATATATATTTTCTGTAATGTACACCTTTAACAAGAATATAACATAGTAATATATAAATATCCATACAAATATTCATACATTCAATATACAAATATCTAATCTGTCAGTAAAACGGAAGGTATATAAATATCTTAGAAAAAAAAACAACAATTTACAAAAATTTTATAATCAATGATTTGCTTTCATGGAAAACACTGATGAAATTTATTTTCATTTTGTAGACATATCCTAACTATTTGCATTGAATAAAGAAATTAAATTTCATCAAATTCCAAATAGGAACAAAAAAATAATAGCGACGTAATTTTGTAATCAATCGAATTACCAATATCAAATAAATAAATGTTGCAGTTTAACAGCATAACGTCACTTAGTTGAGCCAACTTAAATCTAAAATCAGGTAAAAAATTATGGCCTCGTGGTATCAGGATTAGCAAAAATAATACTAATTTCCACTGAATTTATGGAATTATCCATGAATAAGAGCATATTTGACAAAATGAAGAACAACCCGTGATCAATTTTTACATTTGGAAATAAAATAGACTTGAGGTTCAAAGGTAGAAAAACTATATTGTCATATGAAACTTCATGAGTAAGTTATATCTGAGAGAAAAGCCTTTTGGCTTTCTTACTTTTTTAAAAATTTCCCACAATTTTTTTGTATACAGATGAAGAAAAGAGCCAAAGGTTCTTTCTCCAAAATTAATCTCTTCTAACAATATATCCCCTTTCAATTTAAGATATGCCTGTTTCATGCTCTATAATTTTGTATCAAACTATACAAAACATTTAATTTTCTTCAAGGCAAAGCTGTGCAAATATGAAATGAAAATCAATGAATGATTGCTCCTCTATCAAACACAAAAAACAATTCATGTTGATATTCGTCTTCAAATATAAAGTGTCGAGGCATACAACAAGCAGTGTGTATAAATTGCATAAATGAAAAAAGCACGACGGGAATATAAAAGCTGTACTTAAAATACAAATGATACAAAAAAGTCTTACACGGATAAGTACCGAACATGATCGTGATGCCTCCACCAATGAATTTTATACTGAAAAAAATAAACGAATTAGACTCATTAATGGAAAGAAAACATCTTATGAAATTACTTTGCAAAGGAAGCATGTGCTACAACTATAGAAACTCATACTGAAGATACATTTATAATGAATTTGTTTTCAAAGACAGCTACAGTTTTTGTTTTTCTAGCACAAGTTTTTTGGGAAGAAGTGCGACAATGCTCATTTGAAAATTCCTTATCTGATCAATAAATTCCTTTCACCAAAGAGATATAATCATATTTCCTTTATAATGAAAATTGTTTCAAAAACTTCACCAATCACTTTCAACTCATTTCATTTTAAATTTTTTACTAAATAACTACCCTTCTTGTCCAATTCCAACATTTTTTTTACATTTTAATATTGAATTGAATTTCAGATATTCTTTCATTAATTTCTAAAATTGAAATATTTTCGAAATGAGCAATCCATTTTCTCAATATAAGCAATGTATTCGAAAAGAAAAAATGAACAAAAAAATCAAGGCAAAACAAAGATTATTGAACTTCCTCAACAAGTAAGAGGCTACTTAGAAAATAATTAATAGAAATTTTAGCATTCCTCATTATAAGTTGGAACTACAGATTTTTATACTTTGGATTTGAAAATGTATGTCTGATCTCTATAGAGATACATCTCATCACGTTTAGAAACCAAAAGTGGCCAACTTTTGAAACAACTCTCAGACTAAATCATTCAAATTAATAAGTAGTACTCATAAATACTACACTTTGAATAACCGTAAAGCTAATAGCTATAATAATAATTACAACTGAATAAAACCAAGATTATAGCTTCTTAACCAGAACTGAAAATTCGGTCACTAATTCCATAAAAAGTTAATGCTCTGATCTCAAATAAATAATTTATCTCAGAATTACTTCCTGTACTCCCAGTTTCTGGAGAAAAGACTATGTAAAAACCACTTTTCCTGTAGACTTCACTGCAATCACGTGGAGCTAGAGGCCTGATAGCTTCAAAAGCAAGCTAAATATTTGTTTTTTATTTCCTTTCCACTGATTATTTAATTTGTAAGTAAAATTTGTGAATACAAGTTATTGATTAACTGACTGAAGTCTCTAGTTTTTATATTACACCGCAATTTAACAGAGTGAACTTTTCAGTTTACCCTTTATTAGATTCAGCAGATTCTTTATTGATTCAGCTTTGCTTACTTTCCAGATTGTTGTTGAAAACTTAGAGAAACACAGAAAAAACTTCAAACACAGAAAAAACTTCAGACGAAAATATTTGATTGTTAACATTATTGGATTGGAAAGAATATGTCTCATAATAAGCAGTAATTGAGTGCCTAACAGAAACAAACTAACTAATGAAAACTAAAATATTCAATTTGACTTCAGGAACTAACAGTTGAACATTGTCTCACTGATTTTCAAAAATAGTCCTATTTTTTGTTTGGGAAGCGAACTATGCTTTAACCCATTAAGTCCCAGTGTCCTATAAATAGGACATACAACAAATCATTTTTTTTATTATGCAATTTTTTTCATAATTGTAGAAAGTCTAATATTTTTTGTTCAAATATAGTTGTAGGAAGTGTGTAATATTTTTATTTTCTTTATAAGCCGTAATTTCTTATTGCAAAGCATTCTATAATATTTCCTTTTATTTGGTTCTTGAACATCACTTACCATATTTTTAGATTTTCGTGTTGTGTGTATTTTGTAAATGAAATAACTGCATAGGTTGACCTCACAGTATATTATTGTTACTAAATAGGTATGTTTTACAAAATGTTTTGAAAGAGCCCGTCCTATTTATAAGATGCTGGCACTTACCATGATCAACTGTCCACAGCTGTTATGAGAAACATAACCACACAAAATTAAACATAACCTAGTATGATTACTGATTGTTACTGTATTACGTGAAGTGTATGTGCAGCGTCTTTTATACGGCAATAACCGAAAAGGTATCAAATTAAACGGGCGTTAACTGTCCAAGAATTGGAAGATATAATAGATGACCCAAAATTTTTTGAAGAACTTGAATCTGCTACCATGGTCGTGCTCCCGCCAGACGCTGATTCACTGACAGATGAGGACGAGGCAGATGAAGATATAATAGGTATGTTGCACAACATAATATTATTACGTATACTTATTATACAATATTTGTTCTTTTATAGGAATAGCTGATGTCCATGATGTACCAGGCGAAGTTGAGTTGCAATACCTCGCAAAATATTATTGAAGAAGAAGACGAAATCGAAGAATTACAAGCAGAACCAATAGCAGGACCTTCTCATAGCGTTCCAAATGTACCTCCGAGATTGAAGAAGAAAAGACTCCTTACAGATATATCACCTAAGTGGCGCAAAATTAACCCTATTTACACAAAATTACCAGCAGAAGGTGGAGAAGTTATTGATAAGTTAGCCGAATTAAAAGTGTTGTTAAAAGACAAGACTCCTGTTCAAATTTTCGAAAAGTTTTTTACAGAAGACATTATGGTCCATATAACTAAAGAAACAGTTAGATACGCTGCGGCAGTAAAAATGATACAAGCATGAGTCTTTCACCAGAAGAAATAAGAGCTTTTATGGGTATCTTGATTTTTTCGGGTTATCACAAGTTGCCTTCTGAAAAAAACTACTGGTCGGAAGAAGAAGATCTTGGAGTTGATATTGTAAAGAAATGTATGTCTAGAAATCGGTATCTCAAAATAAAACGATACATACATTTTAATGAGAACGACCTGGTACAAAATAACAATAATAAGAATGGCAAGGGTTTCAAAGTTCGTCCGTTGATTACTATGATCAATGAATCATTTCAACAATTTGGGATCTTCGTTAAAGATTTGTCTATTGATGAAATGATTGTAAAATATTTCGGTAGACATGGCCTGAAACAGTTTATACGTGGGAAACCGATCCGCTTTGGATATAAACTTTGGGCTTTATGTGGCTCTAATGGTTATTGCTTCAAATTCGATTTGTTGCTGAAACCTCTACGAACGTATCAAAAAATCAAGACCTCAATTTGGGAACGAGGGTAGTTGTCAATTTACTAGACTGTGTTGAAAACCCTAGAAGTCATTGTGTTTATTTCGACAATTTATTCACTAGTAGAGATTTATTGCTGCATCTGCAAGAGAAGGGATTCAGAGCCACTGGCACATTGAGGGAAAATAGACTAGGAAAATGTACAATGAAAGATTCCAAAAGCCTAGCAAAAGATCCACGGGGAACTTTTGATCACAGATTTGACAGTAATGGTGAAATTCTTATCTTGAAGTGGAATGACAATAAGTGTGTCTCTATCGCAACAAAACCCCTGTCACAAGCACCCCGATGGGATAGAAAAGCCAAAGAAAAGAAAAATATACCTCAACCACGGGTTTTGAAAAACTATAACGCTCATATGGGTGGAGTAGATCAACATGATTGGGATGTAGGTAAATATGCTGTACAAATAAGGACGAAAAAGTGGTATTGGGTACTCTTTACACGAATGATTGATATGGCCGTTTTAAATGCATGGATTCTCTACAGGATCGTCAACTCCGCAAATATGTGATTGCTAAATTTTAGAAGAGCAATTGCAGTGGCATATATGAAATTGGGAGTGAAATCAGTTATGGGACGTCCCACTATATCTTCAACTTCTAAAGTCTTTGATG